CCCCAGAGGGAGCAGAGAAGCAAGCGGGGGGCCGGGCTGAGTTGACATCAGCTGGCCCCGCACGTGAACAGGCCTGGCTGAGGTCGGCCAAGAGCAGCCACACCGCAGATCTGAGGGCGAAAGGGACTGCTGCTGGCAGCCTCTGCGGCCATGGGGGGATAGGTATTTGTTATGTAGCACGCCTGCGTGACAGCTGATTGACCATGCACGTACCTCAAAGGCCGTGAGGTCACCCAAAGTGCTCCTTCCCTCCACCCCCACCCCGCTGGCCTGATGTTCCTGCGGCTCTCAGTTTTATTACACAACCGTGAGCACAGCGGGCGGATGAGCTGGGTTTTCCAGAGAAGTCTCAGTGTCAAATCTTCTCTCCCATTATCCTGAGAGACTGACTAGCCAAGTGCCCCTGAAGCAAAAAGCTATTCGAGGACCTCAAACACCAAAGAACATTCTCAGACCCAGAGTGGGCCCAAGATTCTGGCATTGGAATCTGAGACGGAGACTGACGGCTTCCCGGAGGCGGTGGCAGCAGTGGCTCTCCCCAGCGATGACAATCACAGATGTTCTGGGTGCCCGGAGGGCTCAGCCAGAAGAGCGTGCGACTCTCGATCTTGGGGTCAGGAGTTTGAGCCCCACAATGGGCGTAGAGATTATTTCACAAACACCCCTCTAACTTACAACAATCCAAACGTTGTACGAGCACCAACTGGGCAAACGCCAACTGGATATTTCAATCCCATGGCAGCTCCTCCCCACTCCCACCCCCAGGCAGGCACTGTGTGTGTCCTCCTCTCTGCCAGGAGGGAAGGGACTGTCACCACGGCGCCCAGAGGGAGGATGTGAAGCAGGTGGGCCCAGAGCCCGAGCCCCCCAGTGCAGGGCCCAGTGGAGTCTGGCCTCCCTAAGAATCAAGTCCAAATATCCTTGTCCGTCGGCGACTGCAGGGGGCCACCTCCTGGCAAGGCCTTCCTGATGGTCCCAACCCTCCGTCCCCCCTACACACCACGGGTTGAACCCCCTTCCCTTGCTTTGCTGCCACTTTGTGGCTCTCACCTGCACCGTTGGTGCCTGGTTCTCGGGAGCCCCGCAGGGGCAGGCAGGGCTGCCCGAACGTCTGGTTCCCGGCGCCGGGAGGGCGTGACCCGTAGCAGGGGCTTGGTCTGCACTTGCCGGACTGGCGGACACACCCGCGAGGCTGGCCAAGAGGGCAGAGTTCTGAGGACTGGGCAACATTAGCCTCCACCTGCACATCCCTCCTGGGGCATCAGGAGCCAAGACCCCCAGCAGGGAAGCCCCTGGGGACCCTCCCACCTGAGGCCCCACCAGGAGGCAGGGACACCCCCAGCCTGGCCTGTGAGCCCAACAGCTTCTGGGTCGAGTGGGGCACTATCTGGGCGGCCAGCCTGTGCACACAGCAGCCTTGCAAACAGGGCAGGCGGCTACCAGTCTCAGAGGTGGGGACACTGCCCTCTACAACTCATCAAGCTGCCCTCTCCCAGGCCTGCCCGTGGGATTCCTGTCTGAGGCCTGTACACTCCCACCTGGAAGGACCCTTGCTCACCCTCCTCCAGTTTCCACCAGCCCTTCCACACCTCGCACAGCGGCCCCCTCTTCTGAGGAGCCTTCCAGGATTCCAGTGGAAATTGCTCTCCCCTTTGGCCTCTGTGGTTACAATCCAAGGGACCACACAGGGCAGGAGAGTGTCTAGGAGTCCCCGGTCAGCATGCAGAAGCTTGGCGGCCTGGGCCCCACAGAGTCTCATTTCCTCTGGGCCTCAGCTTCTCCGCCTAGGCAGTGAGCTAGAGCCGGGTAGGAACAGCATCATCTCTCCGGCCTGGGGTCCCACACAGCCTGTCTGCCTGCCTTTAGCAACAGGTTGGAGAAGAGGGGGGCCTGTGTCCCTAGAAGACAGACCAGGTAACGCAGGCAGGCAAGGCTGGGGTGGGAGGTGGTGTGAGGGGGGCAGGTGTGGGGGCAGTGCACCTGCTGTCCTATCCTCATGGAGCAAACAACCCTTCCTCATCACTTTGCTAGACAGGGTGTGGCCCCCAGCAGCCTGGCATCCATTATGCCACCTGCTGCCCATCCAAAATCCCACCCTGGGCCCCCAACCCACCCCAGCCCAGGGGCTTCTGGTGGAGGGGGTGAGCCCCTCAGAGGCAGGCGAGGGTGAAGCATAGCGAGGGCAGGGGCAAAACACACCAGGGCTGAAGAGGGCAAGGCCCAGGGGGCTTCCTGGGGGAAGGGTGTGATCTCGGACTGCGACCCTCGGAGCAAGTAAGCCAGGGTCTCTAGGTGTTGGAGGGCTTGGATGCCCGAGGGGGGCAGCAGGGGAGGCAGTCAGACGTGTGACATCTTCACATCTTGGGTGGCGGCAGGGCGGGTATAGGAATTTCCAGGAAAAACTGAGGGTCAGAGTGAGTGTCTGGGGCTGGGCAGGGGACGTCCCCGTGAATCCTTGCCCTGTGACCAGCCCCGTGCTGCTGACTCGCAGAGGTGGCTGTCACCAACCTGCTGACCGGCCACTCATCACGGGCCCTGGCCCTGCCTCTGGACACTGGGCTCCCCTTCTGCAGAACTGGGACACCACTTGGCTTTGGCTCCTTTGCCAGGAGACATGGGAGCAGAGAATGGTTCCCCAGGATGCTCCTGCCTGAGGCTGGGGCTGGGCGGCACTGAGACAGATTTTGAGTGCGGTCTTTAAGGGTGCAGAGGAGTTCACCGGGGGCTCAGGACCACACGGGGCTCCAGACTGAGGCTGAATTGGGCCCAGAGGGCTACCTGGGGCAAGGCTGATGCCTGGAGGCCCGGTGGGGTCACAGGGGCTCACACGGGGCTTGGCGGCACAGATGAGGGGCCAGAGGGCCACCCAGACTTGAGAGCTGCCCTGTGCCTGGTGTGCCCGTGGGGAGGGGTGCAGGTCTCCTGACCCCAGTCCTCTGGCAACCCCAGGCCCAGTGACAAACCAGGGCCGTGGTCTGGATCGCCATCCTCAGCCCCATCTGGGAAGTGGAGCTCGCCGAGGCGGGCTGTGCCCTGTGCCAGACCTCCTGCAGGCCTCTCTCTCAAAGGCCAGGGGAAGGCACAGGTCCTCCTCTGTCCCCGAAGCTAAGCATCCGCTCAGAGGTCGGGCCAGGTCCCGGGAGGCAGGAGAAGGCTGGGACAGTGGTCCCAGGGCCCCAAGGAAATCTGGTGGGGCTCAGGTCCTGCCAGGAGGTTGGGAGGAAGAGGGAGCCCCGCCCTGTGACGCTTCCCCCAGGAGACCAGCCCCCCAGTAGGCCCACCTCTTAGGCATCTTCCCACGGACTCAGGCCTGGAGGGTCTTTCTTGAGCTCTAGACCCTTCAGAAAGCATAAGAGACAGACCGTGCTGTGAATGGAGGGTCCAGTGCTCTGGGACGGAAGGACGGAAGGACAGACGGACGGACGGACGGACGGACACGGGGACACACACACACACACACACACACACACACACACACACACAGGCAGACCCTCTCCCCCCTCCCCCACTAGGACAAGTGGCCCTTTCTGCAGCTGAGTGGGGGTGGCCACACACTCGCCCCTTTGTCCATCATGTCCCAGGCTGTTGTCCTGGAGTCCAGAGCCCCTGTCCAGACGCCCCGCCCTGGGACAGGGAGAGGAAGGAGCAGACCCAGGGCTGTGTGTGGGGAGGCCCAGCCCAGAGGCTGGTGTCGGGAATGAGGGTCTGACTCGAGCGGCACCAAACAGACCAGGTGCACGGCAGGGGCAACGGTGTTTATTTCTCCGCCAGGCATGGTCAGGGGCCGGCCCCCTGCCCCTGCCAGCACAGCACCCTGGGGCTCTCGTCCAACATGGGAAAACTGAGGCTCCTGATGACAGCTGAGGCCGAGGGCAGACACTCGGGCCCTTCACGCAGCAGTGGCAGGCACGGATGCCAGAGAGCGGGGCAGGCCTGCCCTGGAGGGGTGCCCTCCCCCCTGGATGCGCCCCCGTGTCCCCAGGGCTCTCGTGAGGGTGGGGCACCCAAGTAGCTCCGGGGTTGGACAGCTGGGGTTCAAACAGCTGAGAAGGACCGCCAGCCAGATCACTTGAAGCACTTCTCCGCCCTCCTCAGGCTCCCAGCTAAGTGATGCCGCGGTCTCGCTTCTTGACACGCCAGGGGCTCTGGCGGGACCGCGGCCACAGGAGGCACTTCGGCAGCGGGGCAGGGCTCCCCTCCCCCGTCTCTCCAACAGGAGGGGCCGCAGGACACTGCCACTTGGCCTGTATAGAGCCAGGCAGGCTGGGCCAGGCTCGAGGCCACACGGCAAGACCACCTCTCCCTGGCCTCCGGGCCGGCCTGGCACGGGCAGCTCTGGTGGGGGGGGGGGGGGGG